AAGTGGGACTCTGGGATGCCGTGGGCCTTGCACACCTGCTGGGACCCCACTTTCAGGACAGTGGCTGGGGGTGCCGGACATTCACCCCCTGGGTGCCTGTGGGAGACTCGAGCTTCGCAGTGATCGAGCACAGCGACCCAGGGGGATCGGCAGCCTTTTCAAAAGGGCCCTGTGGTTCCCGGAGCCCCTTGGTTTCCATCTCTTCCTCGTTTGCGTGGCGTACCTGTGGGACTGAGAGGAGCCTGGGAGCTTCCTCCTTGGGGTCTTCAAAGCTTTGGGGCTGCAGGCATCCCTAAGACCCTGCGCAAATGCCCGGAGCGCGGCAACTCCCTCCGCCTTCGCAGCTACCACTGCAGTCACCAGCGAGCCACTTAGCGGGGCTTTGTGTAATGAAGAGGTGACTGGTTGGCCCCCGGGAGTGGGGATTGGTGGGGCGGAAAACGAAGTCTGCCACATACATGAAGTGTGGCTCGCGGTCGCCCAGCCCCTGCTCCCTGCTCCACCTTGCTGGTGAGCGGGCGACGGAGGGATGAGTACCTTTCAAGGTGGTAATGTCTTTATCGGCCCCACCCGGCTTCCTGTAGTGTCTGCAGCATGGGGTGGGGTGCAGTGGGGCCTCCCCACCCGCCAGCCCCTCCCGGGCCCTGCCTCTCCCAGGCCTCCCCGCTGTCCCGGGCAATCACTGCACCTGCTTGGCCGGCCCTGAACCCGCCCCGTCCCCAGCGCATCCCCCAGCGCGGCTGAGCCACCAGCTGGGCCTGGCAAGACCTGCCGGGACGCAGCACCAGACACCACCTGTTTCCTCCTGTGGCAGGGTACACCGTCACGTCGGTGGTGTCCTCCAGGCAAGGGCGGGTGTACGTGGCCGGAGCGCCCCGGTTCAACCACACGGGCAAAGTCATCCTGTTCACCATGCACAGCAACAGGAGCCTCACCATCCACCAGGCGCTGCGGGGCGAGCAGGTAATGGAGGGGGAGGCTGGGGCGGGCAGGGGGAGGGCAGGCGGGGCGGGCACGGGGAGGGCAGGGAACAGGCAGGCCTAAAGCAGGTGGCGGCAAGAGTTGTGCATCCACCCACGGAAGGCCCCGCGGGGCCCCTTTCCCCGGAGTGGTGACGATGGGAACGCTGCCTGTGCCACTGCCCCAGCGGGATGTGGCTGGCAGACTGTGGTGCTAAGAGTCTCGCGGTGGACAGTGACAGATGCAAATTGGAACGCTGTGACAAGAGTCATTGGTGGAGAAATCAGGCTTCCAATCCAAGTCATTTCAATGACTTGCTGCCTTGGCTCTCGTGGCTCTTTTAGGATGGAGGATTTGTGGCTGGGTCAAGTGGAGAACCCAGGCCTCTTGGTGGCACTGTCTTGCACCATGCCACTTCCTGACCCCCAATGACCCCCAAACCAGGCCTCAGCGTCTTCTGACTGGCAGCATCCAGGGCCCTGGGGCCAAGCCGAGCGCTGTCTGGGCCCCTCCCTGTCGTCTCCCGCTCCCTTTGGCTCTGCTGAGCCTGGGACAGCCCTGGCCCGTGCATCTCCTCCTGCCCTTGGCCCGTTCTCCCCGCATCTAGCCTGCATCTGTCTTGCTGCAGAGCGCCACCATGCTGCTATTCCTCCTCCTGTCTCATGACGAGGGACAACCCGGGTGGCTGGGCTCTCCGCCTCCGCCCTGCTCACCCACGCTCCGCCCAGGGCCAGCTCTCCTGGGAATCGAGGCTAGACCTTGAGAGCTGGAGGGAATTTGCTGATGAATTTATGACATTTTTCCTGCCCAGTTCCGCCTCCAGCATCCGAACGAGAAACCACAGTGCTGAAGGCAGCTAAATTAAGTGGATTCCAAATACCAGTGACCCACATAGCTGAGGCCACAGATTTAGACAAATGTCTCCCTCGATCCTCCCTTCCTCGCTCCCCTCTTAATCACTTTACATAGGCACGTCTCTTCCCTCTCACTGCCCTGTGCGTATTACTCCGTTTTTCTCTCTTCTGGTTTCTTCCTATCTTTCTTCTTAGTCCAAAGGTGTTAGTGCTTGAGTATAGATTTCTTCTGAAAACACTCTCAGCCAGGAGATGGCGGGGAGAGGCAGAGCCAGGGGCAGGGTGTCAGACCTGAGTCCCAAGCAGCCTGGCGGTGACCAGCCTTCTGACCTTGGGCAAGCAGCTCCTGTTCTCTGAGTTTCCGCTTCTTCCCTGTAAAATGAGGACGACTCTCTCCTAAGAGCGTGGGGCTCACGAGCTAAGCCAAGGCTGTAGAGCATCTCGCCCAGGTGGGCAGGGTGACTTCCTCTTTCCTAAGCAACCGAGTGATCCAATCAGCATTAGTTAAGTAACTAGGGCTTTTGGAGAAGAGAAATAACTGGGTTTGGCAGGAGCCAGGAGTGCAGCAGCGTTGGGAGCAGGGTCCTGGGGACAGAGGCTGGGGAGGGAGGCTAGTCTAGCAGGGTCACACTGGAGAGTTAGACTTTATCCCTAAAGCAAGGTGGCTGCATGGTCAGCTGTTAAAGGCAACTGTGGCTGCCGCGGGGGCGTGTCGGAGGGGCCAGCCTGAGGCTGGGAGGAAGCCTTCGGGAGGAAGCAGCCGGGAGCAGATGGTGTTGGCACACACCAGGCAGGACTTGCTGGTGGGTTTGCTGGTGGGAGGAGTGGAGGGCAGAGCCGGGGGGGACCCTCAGGTTTCTGGTGAGGGGGTGAATGGTGCTGTCACTGAAATGAGGAGCACCGCACCCCACGCAGGGGAGGGACGCAGCGAGTGCACAGGCACTGAAAGAAACCGTAACTCGCCATCGAAGACACTAGTCCCAAAGTGATTTCTAATATTGAAAATTGAAAATGAACCAGCCTGAGCAACAGCGAGGCCCTGTCTCCACCAAAAATAGAAAAAATTAGCCAGGCATGGTGGCAAATGCCTATAGTCACAGCTACTCAGAAGGTTGAGGCAGGAAGATCGCTAGAGCCCAGGAGTTGGAGACTACAGTGAGCTATGATGATGCCACAGCACTCTACCCAGGGTGACAGAACAAGACCCTGTCTCAAAAAAAAAATGGAAATGAGTGAACTGTCCATCAAGAGAGGATTGATTAAATACATCATGGTACATGCATAATTTGGAGTATCGTGGAATCATCATGACTATGTTGTAGAAAAAATATATGTCATGGAGAAATGCTCATGATACATTGTTAATTAAAAATTAGTATATAAACTATGCAGATATTATGATCCCAACTTGTAAAAATAAGAACATACACACATAGGCAACACACCTCAGGAACAAAAGACTAGATAAAAGAAAATACACTAAAACATTAATAATGGTTATATTTGGACGTTAAGACTATGGTTAACTTGTCTTCTTCTTTATTTTTTTTTTAATATTTTCCTTATTTTTGCCGTTATAATGTATCACTTGAAAACAGGATAAAGTTAAATAATGGAAAGAAAGAAGAGTGGGGGAGGGGAAGAGCAACCGAGGGAGAAGCAGGGAAAGGGACAACTGAAAGCAGCGTGTCCACTCCAGGGGAGGGAGAGAGAGGGAGGGCCTGGGAGGGAGGACCTATTTGTTCACCCAGATTTCTGAGACAGGATGACCTCGGCTTCCTCCACGGGCGAGGCGGGGGCTCCGGGCTGTGCCGGGGGCAGCCAGCCCACTGCCCTCTGCGTCCTGTGCCGCAGATAGGCTCTTACTTTGGGAGTGAGATCACTTCGGTGGACATCGATGGTGACGGAGTGACCGATGTCCTGCTAGTGGGTGCACCCATGTACTTCAGCGAGGGCCGTGAGCGCGGCAAGGTGTACGTCTATGACCTGCGACAGGTACGGCTGGGCAGGGGCCACGCAGCGTCTCGGGGGCACCTGCCCGCTGCTCCGACCACCAGGGAAACGGGTTCCTAAGAGGCCAGTGCCGCCTGCTGGGCCCGGCCGGCCAGGGGACAGTGGGAACCTCTCTGTCGCTGGGCTCGTGTAGCTGGAGAGGGATTCCGGGAAACGGAGCAGGGAGAGGATGTCCCGGCAGGCAGCGGGCAGAGGGAACCATGCCCCGAAGGCCCTGCCAAGTTCCCCTGAGACGCTGCCCGCCTGGCTTTGCAGAGCCGGTTTGTGTACAGCGGAACGCTGAGGGATTCCCACAGTTACCAGAACGCCCGGTTCGGGTCCTCCATCGCCTCGGTTCGAGACCTCAATCAGGACTCCTACAGTGACGTGGTGGTGGGGGCCCCGCTGGAGGACGGCCACAGAGGAGCCATCTACGTCTTCCATGGCTGCCGGGGCAGCATCCTGAAGACGCCCAAGCAGGTGGGGCTCCCCCGGGAGTGGGCGCAACAGGGACAGACCGTGGGAGTCCGGGCAGCCTGCGAGTGGTCAGACGGCTCAGGACGTTCCTCTGTGTTCTCTTCGGGAAGGGACTCCAGTCTGTCCGGGCTATACTTGCCTCAAGTCTAAATTTTGAACTAGGTGCGTCTTATCTTCAGCACCTTCCATCACCCCTTTTTGCACCCTGTCTTTGCTTACCTTTGTCACCCCAACGATACAGCAACCACAGCAAACCCCAGGGGAGCCTCCCTCCCCGACGTGACCACACGATTGACTGCAAGTGGAGAAGTCCCACCTGGGCCCACTCTTCTCTAGAAATGCTTCGTGCCGGAAACCTTGCTCCCCTCAGCGCCGAGCCCTCTCAGGTCCCATCCCCTGAGGGTCAGCATGCTGCCCACGTATTTCATTAGTATGATAGACTAATAAATATACCAAGGTTAGAGATGCTGGTGGCTTACCTGCCAGGTAACAGGCATTTACACTTAATTGGGAACTCTTTTAAGACACAATATATATTTTTTATATATATACATTTTTTATTTCACATTCAAATCTTTAATTTACCTAAGATTTAATTTGGTCTAAAGAGACAGGTAGAAATTCAGCTTAATATTTTTCTAAATGGTGAGGTAGCCAGTTGTTCCAACTCCATTCACTGAGTCTTCCCACTGTGACTTGAAGTGTCACCTGTACTACTTATCATTTTCTCTGACCACCACCCCTTCTCGGTCTTCTTCTAAAAAACCAAAACTCTATATCCTCTCCACAACATGGGGAATGGACTCAAGCTGGACTAATCAGAACCCTTCCCAGGGATTTTTCTTTTCTTTTTTTTTTTTTAAGGTTTGTTTTGAAAAAATAAGTTTAAGGGTATGAGTTGAATTCCATTACATGTATATATTGTATTAAGATCATGGCAGAGTCTGGGCCAGTGTACCTGTCACCCAAGTAGTATACATTGTACCCCATAGGTAATTTTTATCCCTCATCCTCTCCCATCCTTCCCCCTTGTGAGTCTCCAATATCCCTTATACCACTCTGTGTGTCCCTATGAAACCATAGTTTAGCTCCCTCTTGTAAGTGAGAACATGAAGCATTTGTTTGTCTGTTCCTGAGTTACTTCACTTAGGATAATAGCCTTCAGTTCTAACCAAGTTGCTGCAAAAGACATTATTTCATTCTTTCTTATCACTGAGTACTACTCCATGGTGTGTATATACAACATTTTCTTTATACACTTGTAAGTTGATGGGCACTTAGGTTGATTCCTTATCTTTGCAATTGTGAATTGTGCCACAATAAACATATGAGTGCAGGTATCTTTTTTGATATACTGATTTCTTTTCCTCCGGGTAGATACTCAATAGTGGGATTGCAGGATGGTAGATCTACTTTTAGTTCTTTGAGATATAGCCATACTGACCTCCATAGAGGTTGTACTAATTTCCATTCCCACCAATAGTGTGTTAGTGTTCCCTTTCCACCACATTCACACCAACATTTGTTGTTTTTTTGACTTTTTAGTAATGGCCATTCTAATTGGAATAAGATGGTATCTCATTGTGGTTTTAATTTGCATTTCCCTGGTGATTAGTGATATTAGCTTTTTTATATGTTTCTTGGCCATTTGTATATCTTCTTTTGAAAAATGCCTGTGCATGTCATTTGCTCACTCTTGAATTAGGTTGTTTTATTTTTTTCTTGCTGAGTTGTTTGAGTTCCTTGTAGATTCTAGATATTGGTCCTTTGTCAGACACATGGTTTGTGAATATTTTCTCCCATTCTGTAGGTTGTCTGTTAACTCTTTTGATTATTTCTTTTGTTGTGTAGAAGCTTGTAGTTTAATTGGGGTCCATTTGTCTATTTTTGTTTTTATCGCATTTGCTTTCAGTATCTTGGTCATAAATTCTTTGCCTGTTTTAACCCAAAAGAATGACTTTAATGGTAGTAATTTCAGATGCCCATGACAGAACAGGGGAAAAGGTCAAAGTTTTGGGCTAAGGAAGCTTCCTGATGGTTTCAAAGAGGTTCTCCCCATGGCTCCTGATTGTGCCTACCTCTTAGGGCTACTTTCCCTGCACTCAAGCTCACAGCATGCACACCTGGTTCTTCTACTCCCTGCAGAGAATCGCAGCGTCAGAGCTGGCTCCAGGCCTCCAGTATTTTGGCTGCAGCATCCACGGGCAACTGGACCTCAATGAGGATGGGCTAGTCGACCTGGCAGTGGGCACCCTTGGCAACGCTGTGATTCTGTGGTTAGTTTCCCCACTTCTCCTGATTGTTGGGATCTCCTGAGGGTCATGATGGATACAAGATTTAAAAGATATGCTTCCTGGCTGGGCGAGGTGGCTCAGGCCTATAATCCTAGCACTTTGGGAGGCCAAGGCGGGAGTTTCAAGTTCAAGACCAGCCTAGGCAATATTTTGAGACCCTTTCTCCACAAAAAACTTAAAAATTAGCCGGGCATGGTGATACGTGCCTATAGTCCCAGCTACTCGGGAGGCTGAGGCAGGAGAATCACTTGAACCCAGGAGTTTGAGGCTGCAGTGAGCTACGATGACACCACTGCATTCTAGCCTGGGTTACAGAGCAAGACTCTGTAAAAAAAAAAAAAAAAAAAGCCAGACAACAACAAAAGATATACTTCATGATGTTTTTGTCTCTGGTTTTTAACCATCACCAGCCAAACTCATGCTATTCTTATCCCATGTTGATTACAAATTTCCTTTTCATAGAATCACTATAAATTATCTTGAAGTCCTGTCCAAAAGGACTTTGAATTTGCCCTAAAAGTTCTGGCTACTCAGGCCTTTCTTCCACTTCAGCTTTTCATGGTACTTACAGGAACAAGTGGGTCATACTTTTAGCAGCTGGGAGGATCTTCCCTTGTCCCCCGCGGATCCTCTTCCTGTCCCCTGCGTGGAGGAATGCACATGCAACACAGAGATTGCTTTCTGCCAAAGCCCCTCTGATGCCTCCTTTCCTTTATTCGGGATCTCATTTTAATGCTAAGAGCCCTTATATTTTACCAACCGTTGGCTACTTTTTGAGCCAAAAAATGTTGAGCTTTTTTTCACATAGGTGGATGTGATATTTTTCATCATAAATACAATAACTTAAAGAAAATTTGTAAAATAAGGGAAAAAAGTGGCTCAGCATTCCATCACCTTAACAATAGCACTATTAACACTGGAGTACTTCCTCCCAATCTTGTTTCCCACCTGCTTATAATTTTACATAAATGCAATCATACTTTTCTTACGACTTTGCAAAGGCTTGAAACAGAGACACATGACTTCGCAGGGAGAACAAAGGAGGGACGTGCTCCTGGTCCTCAAGAATATCACGATCCAGGGGGGAAACGTCTCTGTCCAGGTGCCCTAGAAGACAGAGCCTGGGGCGAAAGCCTCCGCGTGCACGCTTTGGGAGCGGGTTCAGGCCCAGAAGCAGGAGGGAAGCAGGGAAGAAGGGCAGATGCTGAGCCAGCCACCTCACCGTAAGAGCAGCCCCTTGCTCAGCATCTCAAATCCCCAGAGCGGCGCAGGAAACAGCCCGCTGCAGTGGAGGCAGGCCGGCCGCAGACTTGCCGGCTCCTTCAGATCCCGGCTTGTCACGGCCAAACATCCGCTGCCCCAAACTCCCAGGGCTGCACAGGGAAGCCAGTCTCTGCAGGTCCAGCCCAGCCAGTGCACAGGTGCACGGTGTGTCTCTCTTCAAAGGCGTGCGCTGCATGTGGGGACTCTTAGGTCTTTGGCGGTGCTGGCTGCAGGAACAGCAGCCCGGGTTGAAAGGCACAGTAAAGGCATTCACCGTGTTGGTTCCAGCCAAGAAAGCGAGACAGTGACCAAGGCCTGGGGCAGGGGGGAGACATAGCCTGGCAGGTCTTTAAGGTGGTGCATAAACTTCTTTACAGGAAACAAGACACACACGTGCAAACACGCACATGCGCCCCAAGACACTCAGTGTCACAAAGGGATTTGATGGAGCGCTAGCTTCTGAAGTCTAGACCCAGGTGCTGCTACATAGTGATGAAATTGTGGGCCAGAGGCCTCGGGGAAGACTTCATGGTCACACTGAGGAGCTTTTAAAACATCCTTGCCCAGGCTTTACCCAGACCAATTAAAACTGATTTCTGCGGGAGAGACCCGGGCAGCAGTTAAAAGTCCCCAGGCGATTCCGGCGGGAGAACCACTGACGCAAGCCGTTGTGTTTGCACCACGCTCCGCGCTGCCAGAGCGTCCTGGGTCACCTCCCTGACTCCTCTGGGCCCCCACGAGCGGGGTCATATGACCTGCCAAGGTACAGTTAGGACCCATGGGGACAAGGCTCCACCCCTTCGCTCTCCAGCACAGCGGCCCCGTCACCCTTGTGCTGAGAAGAACAGAGTATTGGCACGAATAGTCACCTCGAAACTCTGAAACCTCTCAATCACAGGACTTCCATTCTTTTTGTATAATTTCATAGTTCGAAGAGGCAGTAAGCTCCCTCTCCTAATTAGGTCTGACGGAGACCAGTGTAAGGGTGACGTCGTATTTCCCCGGCCGCCGGGACGGCGCGGTGTTGGGCTGGGTGGCGGGGAATCTCTAGAGCGGTGGCTGACACTGGAACCGCCCGGAGCTTCAGCCTCGCTCGTGGAAGTGTGGTCCGTGGACCGTCCACGTGGGCATCACCTGACAGCTGGGTAGAGATGCAGAACCCGGGCTAACCCTTTGGGTCAGAATCTGCATTTTAACACAGTCGGGGGTGTGCAGGGATGTTGAGACTTGAGCACTGCTTAAAGCATGCGGTGTCGCTTCTGATTTAATTTGGCTGAGGGACAGCTTAGGCATCAGGAGCTTTTTAAAGCTCTTCAGATGGTTTGAACACACACCCAGGGCGGGGAGCCACTGCCGTCAAAGGTGTTGAGGGGCAAGAGGTCCACGGTGACGGCCGCTGGGAAAATGACGAGGGGCTGCCTTGGGGCTGTGACGTGGCCACGCCCTCATCCCCCCGTGCTGTTTGGCCAATTCCCTGCCTTCCAGCCCCTCCCTGCCCCCACCCCACCCTCCAGCGGTTTTGCAGATCCCACTGCTGTCTGGTTCCTGCCCCTCCCCGGGTCACAGCAGGGCAGCCTGAGCCCTGTCCCACCGGCTCACTGGCCCTGCTCCTCCAGGTCCCGCCCCGTGGTTCAGATCAACGCCAGCCTCCGCTTTGAGCCGGCCAAGATCAACATCTTCCACAGGGACTGCAAGCGCAGCGGCAGGGACGCCACCTGCCTGGCCGCCTTCCTCTGCTTCACTCCCGTCTTCCTGGCACCCCATTTCCAAACGACAACTGTTGGTAAATCGCCCCCCCCACATCCAGCTTCAATCTCCCCCCTGGACTTTGTGGTCACCCTGTGTCAAAGCCTGGGCTTTCCCTGAAGTGGGGACCAAGTGCTGGGTCACCCTGGCGTGATGACTTTGATGACCGCTGGATGCCCGTTTGATGCTCTAATTTCAATGGGCCAAAAGGGGGTGTCGGGCTAGGGAGACGGGCTAGGGAGACGGTGTCAGTGAGCAGGGGAGGGAGAGGGTGGCAGTGAGCAGGGGTGACCAAGGAGGGAGAGGACAGGAGAAAAGGGAAACCGTCTGAGTGCAGAGTTTGGATCAGAAGGCAGTGGAGCAAGTCGGGTGTGGACGCCCAGCAGTCTGGCTGGACACGGGAGGTTTCGGGCCTTTCACCCCAGAACCGAGTCATAGGTTGGAGGACCAGCAGGACCGGCCCGGCCGGCCCTCCCTAGTGGGAAAGCAGCCACCACGGTGGAGGCTCTGACCAGCCCTGACAGGGACCCCAAGGCCAGGACAGGGAAGGTGATGGGAGGGGGGAGGAGGTGTTGACGCCAGCACAGGCTTGACGCAGCACCACCCTGGCCCTCGTCTTGTCCCCTCTCCTCCTCTACAGCACGGCATTCCCTTCTTCCTCCTCTCCTTCTCCACACCTCCCTCTGCTCCTCACTTCTGTCCTCCCCTTTCTCACGCCCACACTGGCCCTGTGAGGGGAGAAGAGCAGCTCTTCGCTGGCCAGCCTGGGAGGCTTCCTGGAGGAGGCAGACTTCCCAGAGGCTATCTTAAAAAAGAGGCAGACAGTCTTGGGCGGGAATGTGGCCCCACTTTTGTGGTCTGGTCGTCTCCCCTCCCCCAGGCATCAGATACAACGCCACCATGGACGAGAGGCGGTACACGCCGAGGGCCCACCTGGATGAGGGCGGGGATCGATTCGCCAACAGAGCCGTCCTGCTGTCCTCTGGCCAGGAGCACTGCGAGCGGATCAACTTCCATGTCCTGGTGAGCCTGGCGGCCCCACAGGCAGAGCCCGAGCTCCTGCAAGACAAGGGGCCAGCGCCCGCTCTGGGAGAGTCCGGCTGGAGCCAGGCTGGTTGGCCAGTGGGGACAGTGTTCCAGACCTCAGCCACCCCAGGCCCCACCTCATGCCCCAGAGAATGACCACTGGGACACGCTACTTAACACCTTGGTGTACCCCCTCCAAAACCCCTTCTCCCCAGCTCTCAGGTGCGCGGGGGAGGGAGGTGGGCGTGGTACCGTCTAGCATGAGAACTGGGGTCAATGAGCAGGGCAGGTGGCTCTAAGGTAGGGACAAGTGGGTGTCAGCTAAAGACGAAGGCCAGGCGAGGTGGACAGTGCATGGACAAGCTGGGAGGAGGAACAGAGAGGGGGACCGGTGGTGTCATGCACAGGTGCCCTATTTTATGGCTAAGGAAGAGCATGAGAAGTTTGCTTCCGTCCAGAAACACCAGAGACCCAGGTCACAGCCCTTGCATGAGAGATGCATGCAGCGGGCTCGCAGAGCCGCCTGGCCCAGTTGCTCCATGGCAAGCAGGCGGGAAGCCCGCAGGTCTGTTCATGCAGGCTTCTCATGTTAGCGTGACGCGTGTGTGCAGTGGGTCTCACACCGCGGTCCTGCACCAGCAGCGGCCTCGTCACCTGGCAGCCTGGTGGAGACGTGCATATTCCAGCCCCATCCCAGACCTGCTGACTCAGAAACTCTGGGGGTGGGGCCAGCGCGCCCTGTGTTATGGGACCCCAGGGGATTCCGATGTCAGCTCAGGTTTGAGGGCCACTGCCTTAATACAAGGAAGCCACTCACGTCGGGCTCACAGGTTCCGGGGTGGGGGTGGTTTAAGCAGATCAGAGCACCCCTTCATTCACCATCAGTGCTCAGGTGCGTCCTGTCTGTGCAGTCATCCGTTCCACGTGGTTAGGCCTCATCGCAGTGGCAGGACTGTGCTGAGAGGCTTGCTGGGGAGGGAAGTCTGACACACAGTCACATGGTTTGACTGCTACGTGAGCAGTGGCAGTCACAGGCCTGACGGTGTGGGGGTGTGGCGGGGGCCGGGGCGGTGCAGTCAGGCTTCCCGGGGGCCGAGGTAAGGAGTGATGGGAGCCTGGCCCCCAAGGACGAGCAGGAGCTTGGTGACACAGCCAGGAAGCTGGGCTGGCGAAAGCTGGTCCAAGGGGCCCTTTGCACGTGGCACATTCTCTACCCACCTGCACACCCCACAGGAGCTGCACCCACCGCAGACTCCTGACGACCAGCAGGGCAGCTGCCCGCCGCCCTTCCTGAGGAGGTGAAAGTTCTAGTTCAGTGCCAGTGGTCCTGGCCCAGAAAATGATGTTCTCTCCTCTCCCGCCCTGCCCTCCTCTACCCCGCAGGACACTGCAGACTACGTGAAGCCGGTGACCTTCCTGGTGGAGTATTCCCTGGAGGAGCCTGACCACGGCCCCATGCTGGACGACGGCTGGCCCACCACCCTCAGAGTCTCGGTTCGTCCTGGCATGCAGGGCGCACGCGCCGCACGCCCCCGCCTCGACCCTACCCTTCCCCAAAGCCCAGACCCACCACGTGCCGGGTGATGAGCCAGCGCACCCGCCGTGGCCCCCCCTCCCCGGGGCCCCCACTGGGGATTGGCTGGACGATGCCAGGAGGGTAAGGACCAGGCTCCTCAGGGGAGCGCTGAGGGGTGCTGGAGACATACAGAGAGCCACAGGCCGGCAGGGACCTGAGCTCCCAGTCACCACCTCCCTCCTTCACAGACCCCCGGCTGTGCCGGGGGCACAGGCAAAATTTATAAAGCGGAATCCCTAATGCCTGGGGCCTCGGGGAACAATTTGGGAAACAACTACGACATACACCGCTGTGCTCGTGAGCCCCGCCCCCTGAGATGCAGTCACTGAGCTCTGCGAGTGACGCGAGTCCAGCCAGCAAAGGATGGCAGGGCTAGCCCTGTGCTTACTTGCATTTCCCGACACACGCAAGGACTGCACGGGCCACAGCGGTGCCTGGGCACCCGCTCCTCTGATTCACGCCCGTCGCCCCACGCCTCCCACACTGCTCCGCCAAACCCCGCCCGCCACACCTCCCCCTTCTCCCCTGCGCCTGCACCTCCGGCTGGCAAAGCAGGGTCCCTCCCTAGTGCACCAGGAGAGGGGAAACGCTGGGCACACAGAGTCACATTTTTTCCTATCACGGTAATTGCAAAGTGGCCATAGCGAACGAATGAGTACCTGCCACTCAGACCGACGTGCGGGGTAATCCCCGCTCTGACGCTGGGGATCTCGTGCAAGGTGACGGCGTCACAGGCCAGGCAGCAGCAGCGTGCACGCAGAGGAAGTATAATAGAGCAATCAGTGGTAGTGCAGACAGGGGACCTTCCTGGAGGAGGAGGCTTTTGGCTGGACGTTAAGTGATAGACAGGATTCTGACAGGCAGAGATGGGGAGCAAGGGCTTCTATTGAAAAGAGTTGAAAAAGAAATTGAGTTGAAAAAGAGTTTGGGCAGAATATGGAGGGCTTGGGGAGCAGCTAAGTTCCTAAAGCTTTTGTTCATCTGGCTGTCTAGCCCCCTGGAAGTGAGACACATTCTTCCTGTCACTCCACACAGTCTTGCTTAGCCTGTACTAAACGCCCAGCACTGTTCTGATACCACAATACCTGGCTTCTCGGGGGGTAATAAGCCTTTCCATATAACTGAGTGCAGCAGTTGCTTGTTACGTCAAATTCTTTCTTTTAATCAGCTGGATAGGAACTTGTCTGAAGGCGGCTATATAGTTCTCAACTTCCTAACCAGCCTGCTGGCTGGAGCAGGGAGCATTCCACTAGAGACTCGAACTCACAGCGTGAACTTCGGTGCTAGAATGCAGTGAAGCCCCCATCTCACCCTGCGTCCCTTTCCTGGGCGGCCCCACCCTGCCCACTCTGTGTGGCTTTGCTGTCCCACGTGCCGGCTGCTGCCGCAGCTGCAGGTCCCCCACGCGGAGGGGGGGCGGAGGGCGAGCTCGACAGAACCGTGCTGAGGTCCTGGCACGCAGGTCTGAGGGAGGGGGAGCTCTCCTTTGAGAAAATGATTTAAGAGTGGCTTTGTGAAACCTGTTTCCCCACCCCTGGGTTTGGCCTGTGTTCTTGGAAGGGACAGTCACCGCCCCTCTCAGCTCCAGGCTTGAATATGCAGCTGCCAGCCGAGCACAACAGCAGGGAGGCCCCAGACCGAACCCCTCACCTCAACCCCTGCGTTTATGGATGAATGGCTCGCCATCCTTGCAGACACCCTGGACCCCTTTCTCCCTTCCCTGACAACCTCCAGGCCCTATCAGTCAGTCCTGCCTCTGAGGTCTCCAACCTGGTCTCTCCTCTCCACGCCCACTACCCGCACGCCAGCGCCAGCGCACCCGCACCTGGAGGCTGCTGCAGCCTCCTCAGTGGTCTCCCTGCCTCTGGCTTCCTCCTCCCAGACCCCCTCCCCCACAGCAGCCAGAGGGAGCCTTCTGCATCCATGTCTGGCAGGACACTCCTTTCCTAAAGATTCGGTGACCCTTATCAGTCGCAAGGCACGACCCCACGGCCCCTGCCCATCTCTTCGTTTCCTCCACCCCTGCATCTCTTACTGCAGCAACACTGAACTGCCAATCATCTCCCGAATTCACCATGCCGCTTCTGCCCCAGGACCTTTGCATGCGCTCATCTTTCCTCCTGGCCTTCCCTCTCCCCTGGCCACCCAGCTAACTTGATCTTCCTTCAGAATGATTACTATCACTGCTGTGAAGCTATCTCTGAGTACCCACAGGCCAAAATGTTACGACTGTTTCTCTCTCTGACTCTTCTATTCCTCATACACACATGGTTCTTCTCTGGGTTTTTGCACATTTCACGCCACAGTCATTCGCTCACATACCGATCTTCCCCATGAGCTGAGGGCAGAAGCTGTGTCTTTCTCATCTTGTATCCCCAATGCCAAAGACCCTGCCCCCCACACAGTCAATGATGATAAATATTGACCAGAGCTGCTCTGCGGGTGGGTGGGGAGCTCTGTGCTACCAGTTCAGTTCCAAACTGGAAGGGAAGCCGGGCGCGGTGGCTCACTCCTATAATCCTAGCACTCCGAGGCTAGGAGGCCGAGGCAGGTGGATCGCTCAAGGTCAGGAGTTCGAAACCAGCCTGAACAAGACCCCGTCTCTATTAAAAATAGAAACTAATTGGCCAACTAAAAATATATAGAAAAAATTAGCCGGGCATGGTGCCGCATGCCTGTAGTCCCAGCTACTGGGGAGGCTGAGGCAGGAGGATTGCTTGAGCCAGGAGTCTGAGGTTGCTGTGAGCTAGGCTGATGCCACGGCACTCTAGCTGGGGCAACAGAGTGAGACTCTGTCTGAAAAAAAAAAAAAAAATAGAGGAACCAGGAGGAGCTCGGAGTGGAGCCGTGTCACAGAGGGAATCATCTATGCCAAAGCGCGAGAGAAAGCAGTGTGGCATCGGGGAAGGGGCAGGAAGACAGAGTGGTCGAGGCAGAAGCCAGCGTGCTTTGGGGCCAAGGGTCCCACGGCAAAGATGAGGGCTGGAGGCTGCGGGTCCCCAGCCAGCTGCCCACACCTGGCTCTGCCTGGCCCAGGTGCCCTTCTGGAACGGCTGCAACGAGGACGAGCACTGTGTCCCTGATCTCGTGCTGGACGCCCGGAGCGACCTGCCCACAGCCATGTGAGTTGGCTCCTTCCTCATCCCCGCCCGTGGCCGGTGTCCGGGGCCCTGGACCGTTTCCTGCACAGCCTTCGGGGTCTAGCCTAGGCCTTGCCTCTAGCTCCCGTGTGGCCTCAGGGCAGTCCCCTCCCCTCTCTGGGCCTCAGTCACCTCCTCTCTAAAAGAAATACTACTAAGTCTAATCAAACCTCCGCAGATTTTGTTTAGGAAAGAAACCTTTCCTATAGAGCCACACTACAAAGGAAGGTAGAGACAGGGGACTTGGAGTTCTGGGTGCTTGTCCTCCAAGCCCCGGATGAGGCGACCTCGTTGGCTGGACTCCTGGGCTTTCCAGTCCTTGTGATCAAGAATGCCAAGGGGGTGAGCAGAGGATGAGCAGGGGACCCACAGTCCCCAGGAAGAAACAAACTATCATCTAAGCAAAAATAAGAAACATCGTATGTTAAGTTTATGCAATATATTAGTATTTTTCAATAATTTATGCTCAACTTTTATCCAAGTATGAGAGACATAATAGAAAGAAGACATAATATTCCATGACATAGACAATAAACAGAAATAGCAAATCCAACCCTCGCAGAAGGATAATGAGGCAAATAGTCTAACCATCTAGGCTAGCAATCAGGATTATCTCCATTAATACATTTAGCTCTGAGCTTCCTGGCAGCCAAGGCCAAGAAGGAAACATGACGAGTGGAGTGATGCATGGGTAGGTAATGAGGTCAGATGAGAACTCTGAGCTCAGAGGAGGCTGTGAGTCTAAGGTGGGAAGGCCAGCACTTTGGGGGCGGGAAGTGATCTTGAAGGATGAGCTCTTCCCAGCCCTGCCACCCGTCTCCCCTCTCCTCCCAGTGGCCGTCCCGGGAGCAGAGGCCAGCCAAGTACCCCTGACCACCTCTGCCCCAGCCCTGGGGGTCCGCGTCGGCCCCGCACCCCCTTTCCGCCCGCTGACCCTGGCGTCGCCCGCACAGGGAGTACTGCCAGCGGGTGCTGAGGAGGCCGGCGCAGGACTGCTCCGCCTACACGCTGTCCTTCGACGCCGCCGTGTTCATCGTGGAGAGCATGCGCCGGCGCGTGGCGGTGGAGGCCGCGCTGGAGAACAGGGGCGAGAACGCCTACGGCGCCGTCCTGAACGTCTCCCAGTCCGCAAACCTGCAGTTTGCCAGCCTCATCCAGAGGGTAAGACCTGGGCGCCCTGCCGCTCCTGCGCTCCCTGGAAATCCGCTGGGGACCGAATTCCCCAGGCCCCAGTGCCCCTCCCCCAGGTCCCGATTGATGTGGTCTGGGCTGCGGCTGGCAGCGGGAGGCTTTCAAAGCTCCCCAGGGGATGTCATTTCAGTGTGCAGGCAGGGCCGACAGCCGCTGGCTGGGGAGCCCGAGCCCTTCGGGGACATGGGACAGGGAGCAATGTCCTTCAGCCCCGCCCTTGGCCCCGGTTAGGGGCACACGTAGCACCTGCCTGCGGTCCGGGCCCCTCACGTGCCCAGCAGGCCTCTGACAAGACTCAGAGCTGGTGGCTCCCCACCTTATGACTGCTGGTCACCCCCAGCTGCTGTCTCAACCAATTCTGGACTCCTCGCTGTGGCATTCAAGGCCCGTCCCACCCACCACCTGCCACTTCTCCTCCCCTCACCACACCCCTGCTGCTCCCCACCGTGGCCCCTACTGGCCCTCCCTCTCTCCTCTGCCGGACAAGCTTCCCGTCCTGCTTGGGACTATCCACACGCCGCCCACTTACCACGTCCAAGCACTGTGCTGACACTCAACATGCGTTTAACCCTCCCAACGATGTCCGGAGGTAGCGGTGGCCCTGGTGGTAGCAGTCGTGGTGGTGGAGGAGGTATCCCCATTTTACAGAGGAGGAAACTGAGGCACGCATAGGGGTTCAGTGGCCACACAGCCAGCAGGCAGCAGAGCAGAATTCCCACCGGCAGCCGGGTCCTAAGCCTGCACTTGGTGACAGAGCCTAGTCCTCGTGTTGCGCTACGTGGGGTGTGTGTCCTGAGGCCCCGCGGCGCGGAGGGGCTCCAGCCCTGCGCAGCTCCCCTGCACAGCCCTGCGTGTGCTCTGAGCGCCGCCCTGTCCAAACCGCCACCTCCCGGAGGGCAAGTGCCCGCCTCACCACGTCTGTGCCCGGGCCTGGGCCAGGCTGAGCACATAGAAGTCTAGAGCGCAGGGTGGGCCAGGGAGTGGCCAGTCTGTCCTCTCCTCCACCTCAGGACCGCTGCCCTGCGCCGCCCTCCCCTGGCCGGCCACGCACGCGGGAGCAGCGCCTGGAGCCAGGAGGGGAGGGGTGGGGCTGGGCCGCCAGACAAGCCAAGGGCCACCTGCCCGGGTCCCCCCGGCCTCCTCGTGGGCTCCTCGTGTTCTCACACAGGCCTGCAGGTGCCACCTGTCTGTGGCCAAGTCCGTCCCTCCTGCGAGGCCCAGCTCTGGGCAGACAGGGCCCCTCTCCACTGCCCAGAGCGACCGCCCAGGGCCCGTCTGTGGTCTTTTGAGGTCCTCTCCTGCCCGCGGACTCGGTGTCTGCCTGGATTTGGGGTTTTCGGAGGGAATCAAGCCCCAACCCTGTACCCACCTTCCCCAGCTTCCCCGGCCCGGGCTCCACAGGCCAGTCCTGCGCCTGCTTATAGCCCTGGGGAGGGAACGTGGGGTTTGTTTCCGAGGCACAGAAGGACCCTGGAGATCAGTGGGGGCAGAGACAGGTGGGAGACATGTTCTCCGTACGGAGCGCTGTGTGCCCCACCCCAACGGCAGGTGTGCAGGGCCAACCCAGGCCCTGCCTCCTTCACGGGGTGCCCCCACCTGTCCCCAGCCCAGGAGACACTCGCAGCTGGAAGGCCAGCATTGCTCCCTCCCCCCCGCCTCCCCCACTCCCAGCCACAGTGAGCTGTAGTGGAGGAAACACCCCCTCAGCCAAATACGAACGCGTTAGTCTGATCACACACGGTTTTTGCACATGCCTGCCAAAACACACCAGCCTACATACACATGCAAGGAAACACACGTGCTCTGTATGCATGCAGCAGGCATGTGCACACACATATGTGCAGCCCTACGCGTGCAGAGTCTACACAGACACACGTTCACATCCACACGTGTGCACGCACAGGCAGTGCCCGGCAGCACGGAGCCCACGGCAAGTACAGACAGTCACCATGACAACAGTCTGGGCTTCCAGCTAGGTACTGCATTTACATGCCTGGCGTCATTTAGTCCTCATAACAACTAAATGAGCTAGGTACTATCAAGCCCATTTAACAGATGAGCAAAATGAGACACAAGCATAGTCAGCAATGAGATATTGTGCAGCTCACAATAGCTAGAAGAGAAATTTTATATTTCCCCACCACAAAGAACTGATAAATGTTTAGGGGGACGGATAAGCTAATCACCTTTATTTGATCATCACGCTATGTATACATGTATCAAAACATCACATCATACCCCATAAATATGTACAATTATGTGCTAATTTAAGTTTTTTTTAAATGAGATGCAAGCAAATGAGCAGCATCAAGCTAGAGCACTGTGAGTCCCTTCCCTCTGGCCCCGTGCCGAGGGGACCGTCCTGGCCCGGCAGGCACAGCTCGGACCCAGGGCAGCGGCGGTGTCTCCCCTCGAACCCAGCCACCGTTTCCTCAATGGCAGCAGCCGGGGAGTGACCTGCTGTGCAGAGGCCTGGCGGGGGGGGCAGTCTCTGCCCTCCACCGTCCCCTGGCCCCAGAGCTCCCTGCCCTGGAGGGGGGTGGGCTAGAGCCCGGGAAAGCCCCTCTCGGCCCTGCCGGGACTCAGCCCGCAACCCACTCCTGTTTTTCTGGATTACAAAGTCACGCAAGGCCCCGGAAGCCCCATTTGCCGGCCCCGAGAGCTCCTTTCCAGCCCTTCCCTTCTGGCGGGAAGACAGTGGCCGCTCGGAGCCCTGAAGCCGGAGACCGGAGCGCCGCTGCCTCCGCCTTAGGTAGAAAGGGCACAGGCTGTGGAGTCGCCCCGGATCCCAGCTCCCACCACTCTCCAGGGGCTGAGCTACTCACTCGCCATCTCTGGGCCTGGGCGTCCGCCCGTGCAGGGGTGAGGCCTGCGTCCCGGCCATGCAGAGGGAGCAAGGCCCGTGTGCGAGCGCCTGCCCGCCCTGCCCGCAACCCGGCTCGCCAGGAACCCACGCACCAGGCTTCAGCGTGGGGGGCGGCCCTGGGGGGCAGGCGGGTGGGGGGTGCTCAGACCGGCCCGGCCCCGCCTGACCACGCCGTGGTGCCCTTCACCCGCCCAGGAGGAGGCCGACGGCAGCATCGAGTGCGCCAATGAGGAGCGGAGCCTGCACCGGAGGGTCTGCAACGTCAGCTACCCCTTCTTCCGGGCCAAGGCCAAGGTTGAGGCTGGGGCGGTGGGGGCGGTGGGGGCGGAGGGGACAGGGAGGGACCAGGGCGGGCACCGGGAGGCGAGAGCCACTGGGGTGAGCAGGGAAGACGAGGGAAGGGCGGAGAGGCCTGAGGCGGCTCTTAGGGTCAGTAGCTCCTTCTCCATGAAGTGACTTTCCAGTGGCCTAACCGGCCAGCCACGCAGGACTGGCAGCCCGTCCACCCGAGAGAGCACTCAGCCCTTCTTCTTGGAGGGGTCCCTGCCACTCCCAGCCCGCTCCCACACCCCTCCTGGCCAATCCCACCTCCTTCCTCCTCCTCGCGGTCTCAGATCCCAGCCGCTGCCCTGCGCTGGGAGTGGGCAGGGTGGAGAGACGCTGCCACCTCTCGGGCACCGTGTGCCGACCGCGTGCGTAAAAGCACGTGTGGAAAGAGGGCCGGTGCCTGAGGGAGAAAGAAAGTAGCTGGGAAAGGGCGGGAGGCACCGGGCCACGGGGGTGCGTGGTCATCGGCCGTGGCAGTGGCTGCCACAGAAGGTGCTGGAGCAGGAGGACGAGGCCAGGCTGCTGGTTTGTGGGAACAGCAGGACACAGCACGGGCCCCCATGCCCCTGCTCCCTGGGACAACGGGGCCCCTGCGGTCTCACGAGGGTGGGGCCTGGGGACAGCAGAGGGGTCTGCACAGAGGCCCAGTGACGCTGGGGGCAGGGAGGTGAGGAGAGGCGGGTGTGACAAGGCCACAGTCAGGGCCCCGCCCCACGCTGCGCAAAGGGCAAGGGGAGCGCGGGACCCGGTCAGCACGCGACAGGAGGGTGCAGCCCGGTGGCCTGCAGGCTTCACCCCTCCTGGGCCTTGCCCTCCTCCCCCACGACAAGAGCAGGGGCAGGTGTGGCCATCCCACCGCTCGCTTCTGACCCCCCATCCAGAGGGGCACGGCGATGGCCATCTCCCCTCCCTGCCACCAAGGCCCCCAGCCCAGAAATCTTGCGTGGAGAGCTGGATGTGCTGCCCTCGAGCTGCTTTCATTAAAAGCAGAAGAGGAGGAGGAGGGAGGGTCTGGCTCCTCTGCTGTCTCCGGCTGCGTCCCCTCAGCTGCCCCCAGCTCAGCTCCTGTCCGCCAGCACCTGGTCCCGCCACCCGTTCCCAGCCAGCAGCCCCCTCCCCGGCAGGCCTGCAGGGGGGCGTAGGGGGAGGCCAGGGCTGCTCCGGGCAAGGCCCAGACACGCACCCACTTCCTTGCAGGTGGCCTTCCGTCTAGACTTTGAGTTCAGCAAATCCGTCTTCCTGCACCACCTGGAGATCCAGCTCGCTGCGGGCAGGTCAGGGCCTGCCTGCTCCTCGTCCCCCAAGCTCGCCCCTCCTCAGCCCTGCTTTCTCCCCTCTCGTCTTGCCACTAGCAGCTACCCCTCCCCACACTGAATCCCACCTCCAAGCCCTGCCCCCACCGCCCCAACTGGGGCCCAGGGTCGGCCGCGAGTGTGGGCCAACCTACTGCCTCCTGGGTTGCCACCATCTCAATCTTTGGGTATAAATAATAAGGCAAGACCCTTACCTTTATGTAGCCGTTATTTCAAGCCACTTGTAAAGCACTGTCCGCATATCACAGTCAGTCCCCACGGCAGCACTTTATAGCCAGCTAAGCAGGGGTTGTTCCCCACCCGCCAACTTACAGGTAAGAAAAGGAAAGCTCAGAGAGGTTGAGTGAGTTCCCCAGGGACACACAGCATGGAAATAGTACAAGTGGAAGCTGAACACTAGTTGTCCTATGCCTCATCCAGTGCTCTTCCTGGCCTGGTCACCCCTCTCCTCTTGGAAGTTTTTCCATTTTTAAGAGAACTTTTCTTGCTCTGTGTGTGGTCTTTGCGTCTTTCTCCCTCTCAGGCCGCCCTGAGGTGGCTTGCTGTATGTCCACACCATGAATCGCCCCATGTCAGCAGTAAACACGCTTTTCTTCTCTCACAGAATTACCTCTGTGTAGGGAAAGAGGGAGGGTCCCAGCTCCCCTGGAGCCTTATAAATGGCCAGACTCCTTAGCTGAGAAGTAAACGTGCAGGCAAGGCACACAGCAGCACGCCGGCTCGCACAGGTCGGAGGTGCCGGGAGGGCTGGGGACCACGCGCCGGCTCGTGCCCCCAGCGGCAGCTCTGGCAGAATCCGCACTCGCCCTGCGACAGTCTGCAAGGCCTGCCTTGCGCTCGTCCCTGCTCTGAGAAGTCACAGCCCCGTCCCCACAGGGACTGCATGGGCCTGCTTGGTGTGTCTTCCGCACAGCTGTGGGTGTGCGTGGATCAGGGAGGGGACTTTGGGGGGATGCCTGTGTGTCCCGGGACCCCTTGTCTAACAAACACCGATCCCGGGTCAGGCCTCCAAAGGGAATAGAACCCGGTGCACATAACAAGCAGGAACCATACATTTTTATGTCGAAAATTATTTGCCCTGGGCAGAGCGGGCGGCCCTTCCCGCAGGCGTGGTCTCCCACAGCCCCCCGAGGGGCTGGCAGCTGGCCAGGATTGGCCCGCCCAGCCGACGGGGCCTGTGAGCGAGGGGCCACGGGGCGGCGTGTGGCGAGGCCAGGCACAGGCGTCCCAGCTCCCACCCAGCCCTTTCCGGACGCCACGCCAGCCCGGGGGCCGCCCCAGAGAAGGCGGCAGGAAAGCAGATGTGTCCGTTCCCTGCGCCCAGCCCTGTCTCCCCTGGGAGATGCCACAGGCTCCCGGCTGGCCGGTCTGGCGTGGCCAGCCCCCCGCGAGCAGCGTGTTCCCGCCCGCCCGCCACACACGCACACCGTCCCGCTGCGTGGCTGGCTGTGGGCGGGGGGCGCGCGGCTCCTCCTGACGTGCTGCCTGACCCTCCTTGCAGTGACAGCGACGAGCAGGACAGCACCAAGGGAGACAACACGGCCCTCCTGCGCTTCCACCTCAAGTACGAGGCTGATGTCCTCTTCACCAGGTGGGGGCTCTGGGGCCCGCGCGGGCGGGCGCGGGAGGGCTGGGGCCTGGCGCCGCACGAGGACCAGGGGATGGAGACAGGTGTGTGTCTGGTGGGTCAGCGAGCGCAGCCCCGTCCATGGCGGGTACCAAAGGAGAGGGAGGAGGAGACACAGGCCCGGTCCCCAAGGGAGCTCCCCGCAGGGGTGCGAGGGGAGGGCGGGGCGGCAGGAGGTCTCCCCACCCCAACCCTGGCATAGGCATGGAGGGTGCATGGTTCTGTAGAGAATTCGAAAACAGGAACCAGACCCACTGCCAGCCAGTCTGCTTTTGAGCGTCACCTTGCACCAGCAATCCTGAACCACGTCAGCGAGAAGAGACTCCCTGCAGGGCGGACCGCTCCCACCCGCCACCCCTGGGTGTGCTGCTGGCCCCAGTCTGCCGGGGAAGCGGGCCCTGTCCTTCCAGAGCTCACAGGCAGGCGGAGAAGTCAGGACACAAGAGCAAACACAGAGAGGAAGGTCGGGCCCTCCCGCGGCAGCCGCCCCTAGCGGCTGGAAGTGGGCTCAGAGGGTCGTGCTGAGAAGAGCTGCGCCCCGGGCAGAGCGGCGAGGGCAGGGACGACCAATAATGGGCTCTTCTGACACACGCCACCCTCACACGAGGCCCACGCTGTTGACTGATGGCTGCATTTGTTCCCGCTGAACCTCAGAATCCTTCCCAACACAGCTCTCCCAACGGACACAAGAGGACACCTGTTTTTGTGGTGTCGAGGGCGGCAGGCACACGCCCACAGCCCCGTCCATCCATCCGTCCACCCAGCCGACACCGGCTGAGCGCCCCGTCCTCTGTCTCTGCAGGAGCAGCAGCCTGAGCCACTACGAGGTCAAGCCCAACAGCTCCCTGGAGAGATACGATGGCCTGGGGCCTCCCTTCAGCTGTATTTTCAAGGTGAGAATAGAGGGGAGCCAGGGCGGAGAGTGAAGGACAGGAGCTGGGGAGCCCCGTGGGGAGGGGAGGAATCTGGAATCATCACTAGTGCCTGGAGTCCAGCCTCTACTCTGCCACCCACTCGCTGTGTGGCTTTAGGCAAGTCACTTCCCCCCTCTGGGCTTCTCAGTCCAGAACAACCAGACAGGACTGGGGGGTGCATCAGTGAAGATAAGGTGTGGCTGCTGAAAAATGTTCAAATATTAAAAAACAGTAGTCTAAACACGTCAGGGTTTACTCTCTCATATAAAAGAAGTCCGGAGTTGCCAGGTTACAGAGCTATCCGGGGTGGGGTCTTCTGTCCCACCATCAGTCACTGGCCTCCAGCTCACCTCACAGTCCAAAAGGGCTGCAGCTGCAGCCATCGCATTCTCATCCCAGGCAGCCGGAAGAAGGAAGGGGAGAAGAGCATGCGCCCTCCCTATTGAGGAACCTCCCTGGCAGCTCCTCACACTCATCATCCAACACGTTGTGATGAGCTGGAAGGGAGGCCGGGGAATGTGGGTTTTGTGTCTCAGTTCTGTCACTAAGGAAGGCGGGAGGGTGAGAATTGGGAAGCACCTGGGCAGTCTCTGCGACGGCCCCAGGATGCCCCAGCCCTGACCTGCTGTGAGTTCATCAGCTCCTCCTAGAGGGGCGTGAGGGCCGGGGCAGGTGGGCAGCGGAATCCGGACTTCAGACGCTGAGCCCGCGTGGCTCGGAGAGGTTTAGTGACCTGCCCGGGCCGCCGCTCGCCCGTGCCCCGCCCAGGGCTAGAGCCCGTCTCTCTGACGCCAACACCCCCCGCTTGTACCCGGGGCTGCGCGGCAGGGGCCGTGCCACGCGGGGGCAGGAACTGCGCACACTCGCCACTCGCACCCTTGGCCGACCGACAGTTCTCTCTCCTGACACATCACTGTGGTCCCCGCCTCACCCCGGCCTCAATGGAGTCCCCTCCGCCAAGAGGAGTGGAACGGAGGTGCCCCTGCTGTCCGGTTCCCGGCCCCACTGGCCGCCGGCCCTCGCCTCAGAGCCCGTCCCCTACCAGGGCTTGCGGCTTCAGCGCAGCCCCGGCCATGGCATGGCAGAGCCGAATCGCAGCGAGAGTTTTAGGCCTTGGTGGCCGGGTCCCCAGGCCTGGCTGGGGCGGTGGCCGCACCAGGGGGCTGGCGGGTCCCTGTGGACCTTGTTCTGCGCCTGCCGCCGCCGACAGCCGCCGTGTGTCCTGACTCCTCCCCGCTCTGCACGCAGATCCAGAACTTGGGCCTGTTCCCCATCCACGGGGTGGCGATGAAGATCTCCCTTCCCGTGGCCACCAGGGGCGGCAACCGCCTGCTCATGCTCAGGGGCTTCCTCGCCGACCAGGTACGGCCGCCCTCGGTCGCTGGGGGCCCGGGCGGGCACCAGGGGAGACAGACACACCCCTAGGTGCGTCCTCAAGCCCCCAGACCCCAGTCCCGTTCCCCCAGGACCAGGACCGCTGGGCCTTCTCTGGGAAGGGAAGAAGCATCTCCAGAAGCCGAGTCGGCTGCAGCTGTGTGTGTGTGTGTGTGTGTGTGTGTGTGTGTGTGTCCCGCACAGGTGAACACGTCCTGCAACATCTGGGGGAACAGCACTGAGTACCGGCCCACCCCAACGGAGGAAGACTTGAGCCGGGCCCCACAACTGGTGAGTGTCCCCCAGAGCAGGAGCCCGGGGCACCGGTTGCACCCGCGCTCGGGAGGGAGCCGTCTCTCTCCTCATCCGGGCGCCTGGCGATGGGCGCTTACATAGGCGCCAGCCTCAAAGCAAGTAGGAACAGAACGGGGAAGGGCGCTTCTCGCCCCGTGCGCGCCCGCCGACTCGCAGGAGCGGGGCAGCCAGACACACAGAGAGGGTGCCGCAGCCAGGCCACAGCCCGGGCACGCTGGGTGCGCCAGCAGGAAGGGCTGGGGATAGTGGCCCTGCACCTGGGCTAAAAGGGCCAGGTGGACACAGATAGGCAGGGCTGAGGGGTAGAAACCAGATGGAGGCGGGACACACACGGCTTGCACTGGAGACGTGTGACCATGTCCGCTGGGGCTGCTGCCCCTGGAGGTGGAACACAGCTCAGCCTCCACTCCCAAAGCCCTGCCAAGACATCCGCCGGTTTCCAGATTGATGTCTTCCCAAGGTCGCCTCTGCCTCTGGGTGCCAATTTCCCAGCATGCTTTCACTGTTCTTTACCCAGACAGAAATCTCAACTGCTTTAATTTTACAGAGCAAGTGCCTCATGCATAGCACTTTTTTTTTTTTCTTGAGACAGAGTCTCCCTTTGTTGCCCAGGCTAGAGTGAGTGCCGTGGCGTCAGCCTAGCTCACAGCAACCTCAAACTCCTGGGCTCAAGCAATCCTTCTGCCTTAGCCTCTCTAGTACCTGGGACAACAAGCATGCACCACCATGCCCAGCTAATTTTTTCTATATGTTTTTAGTTGGCCAATTAATTTCTATTTTTAGTAGAGATGGGGTCTCGCTCAGGCTGGTTTCGAACTCCTGACCTTGAGCGATCCACCCGCCTCAGCCTCCCAGAGCATCATAGCACTTTTTGAGTGTAGCACATTTCACCAAAGATTTGGGCATGGTTGGGGTTGGGGTGGCAAGAAGATAGCAATACAAAGGACTTTAACCTAATCAATGCTAATTCTTTGAAGATTTCTTTGGGTTTTCTATTAATGCTAGTTTTTTCCATTCCATGTTTACAAATTGTTTTTCTTGTCGTATTGCTCTAGCTAGGACCTTCAGGGCAATGGTAAATAGTTGTGATAATAGATCATCAGGATTGTCTTGATACTGAATTTAAAAGAACCTTTTAAAAATTTTTATTATTAAATATCATACTTGCTGTAGTATATACCCTTTAGTCAGATTCAAGAAGTTCCCTGGGAGTTTTTATCATAAACAGAAGTTGGATGTCCTAAAATACTTTCTCTGCAACTGTTGCAGTGATCACATCATTTTTTGCTTTTAGTGTTTATATGGCAGAGACATTTATAAATTCCCTAATGTTGAACCCAAGTTCTGTTCCTGGAATACGCCCAGCCTGGTCATTATGCATTTCAAATGGAGCATCAGATATACTATCCTTAATTTGTCTTCCAGTCAAATTCCCCTGGCAGCTCCAGCCCATGAGTCCCCCAGCCCCCAGGAGCAAAGCCAGCCGGTCACAAAGTGCCGCTGAGCCATCTCCCTGGTGGCCCAAGCCCCTGCTCATGTTCTCAGGTCTTCGCCAGGCTGGCTGCCTCCCCCTGCTCCCCGCAACCCGGCTGCTCAGCCCCAAGGCTCATCTTCTCTTTCAGAATCACAGCAACTCTGACATAGTCTCCATCAACTGCAACGTGAGGCTGGCCCCCAACCAGGAAATCAATTTCCATCTGCTGGGGAACCTGTGGTTGAGGTCCCTGAAAGCAGTAAGTAAGAGCCCCTGGCTAGGCTGGCAAGGAGAAAGGGAAAGGGTGGCTTCTTGGAAGTCTTCCACCTGGGGCTGCCAGGGGAGGGGGCAGGAAAGAATCTTCCAGAGCCAGCTTCTGACGAGGCCTCTGATTGTACAGCTCAAGTTCAAGTCCATGAAAATCATTGTCAACGCGGCCTTGCAGAGGCAGTTCCACAGTCCCTTCATCTTCCGAGAGGAGGACCCCAGCCGCCAGGTGAGGCCCTGGGAGCCCTGCAGACCTGGCTTGGGCTCGGCCAGCTTGGAAAGGGTTGCCCCGTCCCCTAGAGTTGCCCTACAACCCCTGCCCGCGTGTTCCAGCAGGTGAGAACCAGGCAGACCTGCCGGCAGTTAGGGCGGCAAGACAGATAGGCCTGTGGGGCAACACTGGGGAGAGCCGCAGAAGCAGGCGGTTGCCCTGTGCCTTGGGCACCAGCTCTGTGCTCTCTGCACCACAGCTGCCCCATGGGACGGGGAGCAGAGGAAACCCAGGTATTTCATCTAGAAGAAACTGAAGCTGGAGCCCAGGGCTATCTGCTCAGGGGTGCTCACCCAGTGCAGCCCCCCAGCAGTGAGGCCGGCAGCCCGAAACAAGCGTCCATCCTCAGATCTAATGAATTGCAAATGACACGGGCTTTAGAGGACTGGTGTGAACTGAATGTGCAAAGACCGAAGGCTGTCTCTGTACCAGGCTCTGACCCCTGGGTGAAACCAGACCGTTATAGAGTACACCGGCTTAAACCAGGGCCAGGAAGGGGGTGAGGCTCTGTGAGGTGCTCTCCTGGGACAACCGGAAGTTGGGTCTTAGAGAAGCCCGACCCTGTGAAAACAGACGGGCGGCCGGGCGTGGGACGCTGCTGCCCTCCACTGGCCACGTCCCGGAGACTCCAGCCCGGGCTCTAGGCAAGCGATTCCCACCCCACCCCCAGGGAGGCTCGAGGGCAGAGCAGCAAGGTCCAAAGCAGCCCTTAACCACACAGGCTGGGGGGGGGGCAGGGGGTGCCAGGCAGAGGGCAGTGGGTGCAGAGTCCCAGAAGCAGTCGGGGGACTCACCTAAAAAGCATTGTTTTGTGTGTCCATTCATTTGGTGGCCCCACAGAGCAGAGAGGAATTAGGCGACAAGAAAACAATGACAAGCTATGGTGGCCTGAGCACCTGGGGGGAGCACAGGCCCTGGGGGAGGGGCTGACCGGGGAGAGCTTTCCGGAGAAGGTCCTCTAGAATGGAATCCTGAAAGATATGTGGAACTTTCCAGGCACCCAAGAGAGGGGAGGTGTGGTACAGGCTGGGGCCAGCACACACACAGACCACCCAGCCCCCACTGTGCGTGTCTTCAGTGAATTCTCGTCCTTCCAGCCCCACCCCATCCCCCTTACACCCCCTGGTGCCTCACTTCCCTCTTACAAACCCAGCAACCCCAAAGTTTAGCCCCTGTGTGCTGGACGCTGTGCCGGCGCCAGGGCCAGGGCAGGGGAGGCGGAGCAGGCCCAGCCACCAGGGTGGAAGGAGCACATGGAGGGGCCTGCCGCTCACCCAGCGCTGCCCACGCGCGAGCACCGTGACAGGCACGTCCCACGTCGTCGCACTCATCCCCCAGCGCTGCGAGGTGCAGCCCTCCGCCCCGCCGTTGGGGCTGTGCGAGCTAGGGCAGGAGGGGAGCAGCGGCCCGCCCAGAGGAGCAGTGAGCCAGTGGCCAAAGCAGGGCCGTGCCGCTGCAGGCTACCTCCGCTTGCCGAGCTCCGGCTGTGTTCCAGGCACTGTTCCAGGCACTGAGGAGAGATGGGTGAACACGACAGGCAGAGCTCCTGCTCCCTGGCCCCTGACACTGTAGGCGGGAAGGAAGGCAGCGAAGTGGTGGCAGGGACCGCCCAGAAGAGCGCTCCTGCAGGAGCGTGGGGAGATGCAGGGAGGGTGGGGAAAGCCAGACACAGGCTGTGAGGGGTGCAGGAGTGTCGGCGGCGATCTGCAGGTGGAGGGGCAGCAGCACCAAGGCCCCGCAGCAGGCACGTGCTCGGCCTTCGGAGACCAGGGGTGGAGGCTGAGCAGAGCACAGGGCAGGGGAAGGTGAAGCCAGCGAGGTACGTGGGGCCAGGAGTGCTGGCCCTGCAGGCCGGGGCAAGGACTCCACTTTTTACTCTGCGTGAGAGGGGGAGACAGGGCGCTGAGCGGAGCAGAGACCGGGTCTGCCTTCCTGTCTAGAGTGTCCCTCCGGCTGCAGCTGCGGCACTGAGAAGCGGCTGCAGGGGCGCGGCAGAGTGGGAGGCAGAGTGGGAGGCAGAGAGGGAGGCAGAGCCTGTAGGCTGCGGGAGGGGAGGAGGGTGCTCAGGCCTGCGTGAGGCGGTGCGGGGAGGGAGGAGGAGTGGCTGTGTCCGGGTGCATGGAAGGGCAGGTGGACAGACTGCGGACAGACTCCACTCGGGTGCGAAAGGAAGGGCCAGCGAGGACCCGTGGCTTCCAGCCCGAGCGACAGCGAGGAGGGACGCTGCTGCCACGTGCTGATGGGGAAGCTGCGTGCGGCAGGGGCAGTCTGGGGCGCGGAGGGTGGCAGGGGTTCGGGGCCTGGCAGGGTCACGGCAGGAGGCGACAGTCGGTGCTCGTCTGGAAGGCAGAAGGGCGGGAGTGGCCGGCGTGCGGCTGGCGAGAGCCACGGGGCCGAGTCCGCGCGGGCTGCAGCATGGCCCTCGTGGCCGCAGCCACTCTCACCTCTGGGGCCCCTCACTCCGTAGAAAAACATTGAAAATTATGTCCTACAACTGTGTTGGTATAACGACAAACGGGTGCTAAGTCAGGGTGGATCATATTCAGTTTTTTCTTCTAATTTAAAAGAAACGTAGGCTGGTCCTACAGTAGTGGGTTATCAGAACTTATTAACATTGGTGTCACTAAAGTTAGCATTCAACCCCCGACTGCTAAATTTGACTGGCTAAAACACAAAAAAGAAAAGAAAAAAGAAATGTAAACATTTTTGAGGTCCCCTAAGAGCGTTGCAAGCACTAGGCACCACCCGCAGTGACACGTGGTAAGTTGGCCTGGAGTTCGCCAGGGAGTGACCGTAAGAAAAGAAGGGTCCGAGGGCTGAACCGTGGGGCACACCAGCATTTAGAAGTCTGGGGAATGACGAGGAAGCTGCACAGAAGAGAGAAAGAGCAGCCGGAGTGGCAGGAGGAGGATCGGGGACAGCGGGATGCCCGGGCTGCAGGCAGAGTGTCTCAGGGAGGCAGGACCCCCTGGGTCGCTCAGCTCAGGGGCCACCGTGCCTGCACAGCTGGTTGTCCCTCGGCCTCAGCTGGCTCGTGCCACCCATGCCTCAGCCTCCCCCCGAGGAAGGGAGTGCCACGCTCCCACTCCCACTGCCACCGCCGTCCCCTGCCCTTTCCGGCCAGGCTGCACCCCAGCCCCACAGCAGCAGCGCCCTTGGCCTGGCTCCACCCCCTGCAGGTCACGTTTGAGGTCTCCAAGCAGGAAGACTCACAGATCCCCGTCTGGATCATCGTGGGCAGCACCCTGGGAGGCCTCCTGCTGCTGGCCCTGCTGGTCCTGGCGCTGTGGAAGGTGAGGCCTGCAGGGCGGGGGCGCAGCGGCCTGGCCGGCTGCCCGGGCGTGGGGGGCCGCAGCCTCTGGATCTGCTCACTGCCAGCTTCTCTCCATGGGAGCCGCACCCACCCCTCGTCTTCCCAGAACGCGCGGGCTGCCATGGCACCTGCCCCTCGCCACAGTGGGCAGATTTCAGGGCCAACAGAGGACACTCACGCTATGGCTCAGACCCTTTTGTTCCCTTTGGGAACCTGATGAAAACTAAGCTTCTCTTACCAGAAAAAGGGGGTAAAAAAAAGCAAGCACACACAGGTGCACGAAATTTCTTCAGTAATAGGCTGCTAACAAACCTCCCAAAGCCCTTCTCTGTCTCTGAACCTCTGGTTAAGAACTGCTGGTCTCAACCTCCTGCTGTTGTGGATGAATGGAGGCCCAGAGAGGGATATTGGCTGGTACAGGGTCACACAGCAAGACGGTGGGAGCCAGCAAGACTCTTTGCCTTTTCCCCAGAGCTCCATCCACTCTGTCCCAGTCCACAGAGGGAGTTCTGGGGTAGGGGTGCCCGGAGTGAGCTGGGGCATTCAGGGAAGCCCTCTGAGGGAGGCAGCCTGAGGAGGGGTGGAGGGACGTCAGGAGGGGGCAGGCCTTGTCCCTCCTTCCCACCCCTGACCCTTCTCCCTCGGCCTCCCCACAGCTCGGCTTCTTTAAAAGTGCCAAGCGCAGGAGGGAGCCTGGCCTGGACCCCACCCCGAAAGTGCTGGAGTGAGGCTCCAGAGGAGGCTTCGAGTTGACTGGGGCGGGACCCAGCCCAGGTGGTGTGCAGGCCCGGCCCAGGCCCCACGGAGCTGCAGCAGAGGGGACGCCGGCGGGCTTGCACGCGGCCTCGCCTCCTGAGCAGCGGGGCCTGCTCCTCCTAGGACGGGACCCAGGCCGGCTCTAAGCGGAACCGCCCCAGCGGGAGGCCGGGACACCTCCAGCACAGACCCCTGGGAATTCAAAGGGGCCTCCCTCCCCGGGCCCGCCCAAGGCCCCCAGGCTCCGTGGAGGGCACCTGTTGCCCCAGCCACTAAGGTGCTAGGAATTCCTGCTCATCCAACCCGCGGAAGAAACGCAGGGAGGAAGGCCGCAAATGCAAACCCACTCTGCACACACTCCAGGCCTCTAGTTCCAGAAGGACCGTGGGACAGCAGAGCTGAATTCCGCCGCGTCCTCCCAGCCCTCCCACCCACCACTGGTTCCCAAGTCACACCTGCCCCCGCCTGTAGATGGGCCCCGGGCTCCCCACGAATGAACCTGAGCCCCGCGGCGCCGTGGCAACAGCGGTGGGCCGGGGATAAAGACAGACTCTGGGCCGCGCGGACGGTGACGGGGCTGATGGCCGGGCAAGCGGGACTCAGGACACTGGCACCGCCCTGGATGGAGGCAGCAGGCGCCCCACCCACGCGCGTCCACACTGGCTGCCACCCACACCCCCCCCAATCCTGATCCTCAGTACCTCATGCGAAGCGCGGGGATGACGCAATCCCTGGGGCTCCCCGCTTCCACTCCTCGTCCCGCTGCGGCAGCGGGGTGGCAGGCACAGGGGTGGGAGCATCCCCCCCGCACCCCTGCACGCGCACTGCCTCCCACCCCTCCCGTGTGCCCGCCAGTGCACCGCAGAAGCGCCCTGCCGGTGCCGTCGAGGGTCCTCTCTGGAACGCACTGAATAAAGCCCGTGCAAGGACCCCGGGAGCCTGCGCAGCCTCAGTGACAAGTGTCTCGTCCCCCGGCCCACGGGACGAGTAGCATGAGCAGTGGTGGTGCCCCAAGGACAAGGGGCATGCCTGGTGCCCAGCGGAGTAATTTATGCCTTCACCTTGTTTTGAGGTAGAAATGAAAGGGGTACAAATCAAAGGCACACGTCCCCCTGTGCACAGTACGACCTTCACTGTCGTAAATATTTTTAAGAAATTTTTTAAAAAATACAGTGTTTAAAAACAACCAAGGCACTGACATCCCATTCTGTGGGCAGAGCGGGTTGCAGTGAGCCACGCTCTTCTTTGCAGGGGAGGAGGCGGGTGAGGGGCTCTCTGCCGCCTTCCTGGTATGTCTAAATGTTGCCTTCCTGCCTTCCTGGTATGTCTGAAGGGATTTGCTCCTGCACCATGCCTTCCAGGTGGCCGCCTGGCCTCCGTGACTTTGCCGCCACCGGTGAGCACTCCCTCCCTCCCAGGGTCGCCCATTCCGTCAGTTGCCAGGGTGGACGGTTAGGACCCAAACGTCTCGCTGTAGCTTCTGCCCTTAGTTCCAGCGTGGCCCTCGCAGGCCTGACTTCCAGTTTCTTTACACACAGGCTGCTCTTAAAACAAGGCATCTCTGTGCTATTCTTGTGCCGTTCATTTCCGGGAATCCCAACAGGTAGAGTCTTAAAAAATATTTGATCTTGTTCCCACATAGAAGAGGACACTCAGAACCAGAGAGAGAGCCCTAGGTCCCACGGCAAAACCCAGACTCAACCCAGAACTGCCACCTCCCAAGCCAGACTCTGTCATTCCAGGCCAGCATAGCAAGGACTTAATGAGGAGCAAATAAAATCTGAATATCAAAACTAGCTTGCAGCTGGGTGCAGTGGCACACACCTGTAATCCCAGCTACATGGCAGGATCACTTGAGCCCAGGAATTTGAGACCAGCCTGGACAACGTTGTGAGACCTGTCTCACACACACACACACACACACACACACACACACACACACACACACACACACAAAGTCTCCTTCTAACAGAATCAGCAGAAAATGTTAAATCATATTCCATTTCGGTTATCATCTTATGAATGGGAACCTGACTAAATGAGCATTGATGAGCCCACGCTGAGAAGTGTATCATTTGATTTTGCACCAAGTCTTCTGGTCAATCCCCATCAGATCTGAGAGAATGCTCTTAGGGAATTCCTGATTTTTAGAGGTTGGCATTAACTTTTTTAGAAACTGCCATGTGTGATCACACTGCAGGCCAAACAACTGAATTGCAACCTCTAGACCCCCAGTTAGGGACAGGTAGCCCTCATCCGAGGGACTCCGCAGTCCCTCCACAGCCTCCCCCAGGCCTCCCCCAAGACCCATGAAATGGTCAAAAGGCATAGAAATTGCTAGGCTTGTATCTTCCAGTGCTTTAGCCCTGGGGTTATACCAATCCTTTTTCTCCTCTTTTTTCTTATCAGTTCTTGCTTTCCGAATCTATTTACTCTGGAGTATAAATGTCCAAGACTAGCCTTAGGAGCGCCTGGCAGGGCAAACAGAAGATGCATCTCATAGGGAGCAAAGTCTCAGACTAAAGCCGTGTTTCGCAGTCCTGGCTGCCATGAGAATCACCTGGGAGCATAAAGGATACGGCTGCAGGCCCCAACCCCTAGGGATCCATTGGTTGGAAGAGGAGTCAACTTCCAACTTCATTGGTTGGAAGAGGAGACAAGTTCCAACTTCATTGGTTGGAAGAGGAGACAAGTTTGTTTCAAACTTCCCCAGGTGATTCTAATGTCAGTTGAGCTCAAAAGGAAAGGTAGAAAAGGAAGGAACAGGGGTTAACATGCACAGGTGACTGTCTATGAATACTGGGAACTGCGCTGTTGACATCAGTGCCATTCAAGTTAACTGGGCTCTAGCCCGGAATCTGGAAGGCCTTATTACAGAAAGTCCCAGTTTTCTAGAGTCCCCAGAACCCCAAGGGGGCTCTTGGAGGAATTGGGCACATGGGCTTTTGTCTGGAATAGAAATTGAACAGCAGTCTCCAAAGAGACAATTTTGGCAGTTAGAGGCAAGCAGCCTCAAATGCAACCTCAACTCAACATTAAAACCATATTGTGAGCCGGGCACGGTGGCTCACGCCTGTAATCCTAGCACTCTGGGAGGCCTTAAAAAAAAAAAAAAAAAGTATAACAATAAAAAAAAAATCTAATGATAATAAAGGAAAATATCTGTAAGCATCTTCATTAAAAAAAAAAATCCTCTGCCAGGCTGCGGTGGCTCACACCTGTAATCCTGCCACTCGTGGGAGGCCGAGGCGGCGGATTTGCTCGGAGGTCAGCGAGAGTTTCGAAAACCAACCTGAGCGAACGAGCGAGACCCGGCTGTCGTATATATAATAGTTAAGGAAATGTGCCGAGACTAATAATTAATATAGAAAAACATGAGCCGCGCAGGTGCACGGATGCCTGTAGTCCCATGCTGACGTCGGCGAGGCTGGAGCAGCAAGCGATCGCTTGAGCCCAGGAGTTGAGGTTGCTGTGAAGCTAGGCTGACGACCATGGCACTCACTCCTAGCGCCGGAGCCAACAAAGTGAGACTCTGCTCTCAAAAAAAAA